AAAGTGGCCGTAAGTTTAGGCGACTTATTAAGGCGATTTAAGGCGACTTTAGGAAAATTTGGTCAAAACGTTGCGCAACTTAAGGCGATTTAAGGCGACTTTAGGCGACTTAAGGAGAAAAAGGTTATATTATATTTAGGTGAATTACATTTTAGTGAATATGTTGCAGTTAATTTTTTATTTCAGTTAATTTTTGGTTTTCCTTTGTCTTAAATTCATTAGCATACATAACCATACCCAGAAACAATGGAAAAATAAAAATTGACTGAAATAAAAATTAACTACAACATATACAAAATCAAAATCTACTGATAGAGCGCTTTTCGATTGAGTCTCGTAAACCAAAACCAAAGTAATCACAACGGCCAATCAGAACAAACGAAAATATCAGAGGAAGCCAATGAGAAATCGAAGTAAACGCATGTAACCGACCTTAAGCGCGGGAAAACGCGAGTAACCAAGTCGCGATTGGTTTTAGTTTTGTATCTGATTGGCTTAGAAGGTGGCGCAAGTTTTCTAGACCACTCACAGAGCACAGTAAAGCAAAACCAATGCAATCCCGGATTACTATCAACACTAAATTGAAAATTGCTCTAACACTACCTCTCTAGGGACACAATGTCATGGCATAAGTTAATTCAGTCTTGACGACATCTACATTAGTCCAAATTTTCAACAATCTCAGCTACCTAATATTTTGAACATTAAACATCAAGGTAGCTTGTGTTGCAGGTGTGTTCTAACGCTGGTTAGTAACATTTGTGAAGCAGCATTGATATCCTTGTTCTGGGGCCTTGACGTACTCAATGAATTACCGGCATTTTGAGTTTCCCTTCAACATGATTGGCAAATGGACAATAGCATTTTTAACATTTTTTGCAGATGGACTTAACCCAGACTTTAGTTCCATCTGTGGCACAGGCTAATATCAAGGGTGTTGATTTAGTATTACATTAGCAGAGACAAAATCTGAGTTAGAAGCAACCAAAAGGGTAAATTTTCTCTTGGCCTTTAAATGCATTATTTTATAATATAAGGGAAAAGAAATCAAAGGTTCCTGCATTTCTTCTTTTTCCAAAAAATAAAACCCTAAAAGTACATGATTTCAATACATCTCTGTAAAATACTGTAAGCTGGTTTGTAGCAAAAACTTTATATTGAAGTGTCTTTTTTTCATAATTTGACAACAAACATTAAAGTAATTAATTTAAAACGTCTAGAATCACTTATCGATATGCACATTATGGAAATGACGATCCCCATTGTATTCTGTACCAGTTAACTTGTAAAGAGCTTTAATCGCTGACAAAGTAGCGTCAGTCTTTCTAAATGAATAACAGATTTGCATGAATTGAGGCTGTTACAAACAACAAAAGTTACAGAGAGTCTACAGAAGCCTTCCCTCCATCTATTTACCGTAATTTCTCAAAGAGCTTAAGGTGGCTCGACTGGATTTTTTGGGGTTGATACCTCCCAAGTTTGAGCATTAACTATGTCGGCATGAGTAAAGATATGGAAAAAAGATTGCCACAACTGTATTATGTAAAGATGAAAATTTCTTATGATCTGGGTTTTATTGCAATCGGAGTCGCCATGGCAACGTAATGACGCCATTACGTTTTTCATTTATCTTTGTGTTTCTCTGTACCAGGAGTTTTTTGAAGAAATCGCTTAAGGGAGCATGTACCTGCTATAATTGCGTCCATTATGGCAAAGTTTGAACAAATTCTATGAGAGCGTTTTCGAAATATTTTGAAATGCAGTTTTAAGAATCGTAAAAACAGTGAAATAGCATGTTAGCCACACAATTCGCTAATATTTTAAGAAAATGATAAGCTTTGGGAACGAGGCTTCATCTCATAGTGGTTTGATTCCATTGAAAACTGCATACAAAAAAAGAGGGGAATTGCTCTGGGCGATCGCGAGTAAGAAGAATGTTATTAACTTGCACTCAGCTGCTTTTGGTGCAGTGTTTGGACGTAATTTGGTCCATGCCTAAAAATTTCGCATTTTTCCAAAAACCGCTCGATATTTTTTTTTATAAATTCGACAATCTCGAGATCAATCGTCAAGAAATATTCCCTGCAAGTTTTAAGAACATTGAAAACAGGGAAGGCTTTTAAATAGGGGCTCAAATATAGCCAATTTTCTCCCCAGATTTTGTGTTTACAAGTGAGCGTCCTCATTATTCACTGGCATTGTTTTCAAGTTTCATATGCACGTGCACAACTAGCAAAAGATATAAATTTGCATCAAAACGAACTCTCGAGTACTTTCCAAAGAAATATCAGGAATATGCTAATAATTGCCTTGTCGTCACAGATAGCAGTGAGAGCTGAAACGGTGAACGTCATGGCTCATCGTGTAGGATGGAATACTTACTTATCTTACTCGGGTTATAACATCACAGAAACTCTCACAAAGAGTTGCTCTGATGTTATAATGTATCACTAATCTCTTTACCCGGTAATTAGCATATCCCGGAGTTTTAACCGAGGGTCCTTTTTGATGCAAATTCTATCTTTTTGCTAAATGTGCACGTGTATATGAAACTTGAAAACAACGCCAGTGAATAATGAGGAAGCTCACTGGTAAACACAAAATCTGGGGGAAAAATTGGTTATATTTGAGGCCCTATTGGAAGCCTTCCCTGTTTTCAATGTTCTTTAAACTTAAAGGGAATATTTCTTGACGATTGATCTCTAGATTGTCGAATTTATAAAAAAATTTATCGAGCGGTTTTTGGAAAAATGCGAAATTTTTAGGCATGGGTCAAATTACGTCCAAAACTGCACCAAAAGCAGCTGAATGCAAGTTAATAACATTCTTCTTACTCGCGATCGCCCAGAGCAATTCCCCTCTTTTTTTGCATGCAGTTTTCAATGGAATCAAACCACTATGAGATGAAGCCTCGTTCCCAAAGCTTATCATTTTCTTAAAATATTAGCGAATTGTGTGGCTAACATGCTATTTCACTGTTTTTATGATTCTTAAAACTGCATTTCAAAATATTTCGAAAACGCTCTCATAGAATTTGTTCAAACTTTGCCATAATGGAGGCAATTATAGCGGGTACATGCTCCCTTATGCGATTTCTTCAAAAAACTCCTGGAACAGAGAAACACAAAGATAAATGAAAAACGTAATGGCGTCATTACGTTGCCAAGGCGTCTCCGATTGCAGTAAAACCCAGATCATAAGAAAATTTTCATCTTTATGTAATACAATTGTGGTAACCTTTTTTCCATATCTTTACTCATGCCGACGTAGTTAATGGTCAAACTTGGGAGGTATCAACCTAAAAAAATCCAGTCGAGCCACCTTAAATTACTACTGTTAAACACGTAACTGACAGTAAATGAGTTAATATACTTTGGATCTTACAACCGTCTATAGAGCTAGAAGTCCTTTCTCTCCGAGTCCGAGAATGAGAAGTAGGTAATAACCTATTTAACGAACTGAGTCCTGACTTTCTACACTGATAAAAAAAAAAGCTAGAACGCCATCAGACAGTACTTTTTTCTCGGCCAGCCATCTTATTCTTGCCCCGGGATTATCAAAATGTTCTGCTTGATTTAGTTTCTCACTTGCTTATTTTGTTCTTCAAACTTTCAGTACTTGCACTCGCATTTTTTTTCCTCATCCGACAACGAGAAAAAGAATCCTCATTTGTTCGTGTTATGACAGATCTCACTATCCGGCACTCTGTCTGGTCTTGGCCTTAGTCATTTTCCTCTTCATCTCCCGAATAGTTCCCCAAAAGGAGTTCGTTCAGTTGGTTCTTTTCGCCAAAAAATAACGAAAACATATAATGCGACCACATAGATGCATAAAGAATAAATATAATCAGTACATGTAAAGAAAAAACAAATTCCGAGAGCTTCACATTTTCTGGCGTGTTTTTCCAAGGTTTAGTGCATGCCATAAAGAATGAAACCAAATGAATGTGCAAAACCTAATTTCCCCGCAAGCTCAGTAAATAAGCTCTCGAAATTAAAAGCTCCCAGAGGAGGCACAGTGGCGGATCTAGGGGAGGGACCCGCACCCCCCACCCCCAATTTTAGACCAAACTGAGGCCCGAAGGACGGAAAAAATTATTTTGGAGACTGGCCTTCCCCCCTTATCTCAAGATCTGGATGACCGTCCAACCCCCCTCCCCCTTATCGGAAGGTCTGGATCCTCCACTGAGGCAAACCGATGGAATAAGATTGTTATGGGAAAAAAGATCCTTGTGCCTGGTTTGGATGTAATAATGATCGCCATTTTTGCTGAGAAATATACAGTGAAAGACCATATTTCTAATACTAAACTAGAAAAAGGCGATCATTATTACATCCAAACACGGCACAAGGATCTTTTTTCCCATTACAATCTTATTCTAAGCAAACTTTAAGAAAAAATGTCCCAGAAAGCGCTCGAAAATACAAACGAAATGTGCTCATGCCCCCCTGGGCATCCTATAATACTTCTTAAATCCAATTAATTCAATATGGCCGCCGTATCGGTAAAAAGGTCTAACGAATGCTTGTTCACATTATTGAGCGGAAGTGGAAGTGTCCTATTGATGAGAGGATTAACATCAATTTTCAGTTATGATCACAATGTTTGTTTATTTTAATATTTGTAATTAATCACTTTGTATCAAGAATTAAGAGGAGTTTTCAAAGTAGTAATTTTCTGTTAAGTTTTTCTTTCAGTATTGTTGGATTGCCTTATTAGCCAATGCGTACTTAGTCACTAATGATTGCTTATTCTCTGTGAGCACCCTAATTCAGTTGGCTTTTTCCACAAATGTTCACTTAATGTTGTTTCCAAGGTGATCAAAGGAACCGTTATCTATGCCGTATTTTTTGGCTTCAAAGAATATCAGCCCGAACGTAATCAAATGCACGTATTTCTGCCTCGTCACTTGCCTTGTCAAAGTCTGCCACACTTATAGCTCGTAGCAAGTTCACTGTCACTGAGTTTTAGCCAAACTTCATTCCAGCTCCTGAAACAAGATGGGAGGGTTCATAGGCCATGCTGTGGCGGGAACAATGTTTTTAACCATCTCCGGGTGGTGGTTTATTGGAGACGTCCTGCAAATGAATCGCCGCAGTGGAACACTCCGAGCTAAAGATAAGCAGAAGGGGAAAAGGCGATCCAACCGATTCCAACTCGTGTGGTATCACTGCCCGGGTCCGACGCTCTCCAAAATTCCACTGGAGCCAATGATAAAAGTGGTCTTATCAGCAATCGGAATCTTGGTTGAAATGCCTTTTAACAAAACTCAGCAAAATTATATGACGAACAGGGCGAACTCATCACCAAGAACTTACGCAATCACGGACACGCACTGATGTACGGTTTCTTTGGGCTGAGCGGTATCGTAGATCTCATAATGTGGTATCGCTTTCTACCCCTTCCACCAAAATTCGACTATTTAGTACTATCACTTGCTTTCTGGGTGGAAGGATTCCTGTTCTATCTCCATCTTCACGGAAGAGATGAACTCAACGTGCATGTCCATTGTATTCTTTACGTTCTCGTTTTTGTTACTGCCCTCGTTTTCTTCTTAGCTGTTGTTTCCGATCGGTTTGCCCCCTTTGTGAGTTTTTCTAGATCTTATTTACTAAGCTTACAGGGAAGTTGGTTTTTCCAGATTGCTTCAATTCTTCATGGCACCAGACCTTGGGAAAACACATCAGGAAATATGGAGCTCTCCGGAATCGTATTTTCCTGCCATGCTTTGGTTCTATTTATTGTTCATCTATCTGGTCGCATTATATGTTTCCGTTTTTTGGCCAAACAGGACCAACTTAACGAACTCCTTTTGGGTAACTGTTCGGAAGAAGAAGAGGAATACATTCAAGGTCAAGATCAGGCAGAATCGGAATACTGAGATCTGTCTTAACAAACAAATCAGTAGACGTTCGTCTAGTCGTTCGCTTAAAAATATACAAAAAAGGCGTACGAGTGTATGCACTGAAAGACAATTTTCTTGAAAAAAAAAAAGGAGAAATTGAATCAATCGAGATATTCTGACAACTGGTGAGATGAGACGAAGATGATTGACGGAGCAAGAATACTATTATAATAAAGGCTTTCAAACTTTGTTTGTCACCCTCAAGCCAGAAGTCAGTTCAATGGTTATTACAGACTCACGTTATGTTCTCGGACTCACAGATGAAAGACTAGCAGAAGAGTTGTAATATCCAGACTATAAGTCATTTAAAAAGACTGATCTAGTCTAATGCTACAGAAAAACCTTCTATGGACGGTTCGTTTTGTGCTGTTTTATAAAACTGCTTATGATCATAATTAAGGCTCTTTGAAAATCAGCCGTATATAGTTCTGCTGATTTATTCACTTTGCACAGCTGTTTAAATTCACCTGTACATTAGCTATAATCACACTGTTTTTTCAAGATTGGTGCTCGTGAAAACTGCTCCGTGTGAATAAGTAAAGAGTGCGCGTCAATTCACCTTACGGATCGATGTCAGTGTTGCTAAAAAAAATTTGATGTCTGAAGTAGAAAAAAGAATTGCTCTTTTCTCCCTGTTTTACTTTTAAATTGCGAAATGATGGTAATGCATTTATCATGCATGCAGCAATTTAATACTCATTATTTCACACAAATAGTTTTTCAGTTTATGAATAGAGTCGAAACCTGTATCTTGCATAATAAAAGTTATGAGGCTGTTATGAAATCTTACCGAAATAAATTACTTATTCCACTATTACTTAGTTTTTAACCAGTGAAGTAGCGGGGCGAGGGGCAAGCAAATAAGAACATAGCTATTGGTCGAATTATTTTATAAATGCAAATCTCGTGAATGATGTACTCAGGAAGAGAAGAAGCGTCTGTGGCCAGTTTGGAAGCTTTGTGAAGAAGTTGAAAGGCATTTGCCGGGTTTTCCTTTTTAATTTTTAAAAAACGGAATAGAGCAATAACAAATTTCACCTAAATCCCTTATTACAAGTTCTCCAGATGCATTCCCCGGCGAAAAAATGTACGGAGGAAGCTTTGATACACTTGAATTGAGTGAATCATTACATCCTCTTTGATATTTCTTCGGTGGAAGAAGAGTTAACATGAGAAACAAGAAAAATATATATTGTTGCCTAACATCAGCCTCTCTTCATTTTTGAATGATCACACGCTCACAGCTATGGTCATATACTGAAGAGGGAAAATGGGTTGTAAAGTCGATTTTTTTCATTTTTCTTTTTTTTTTTTCAGTCCTGGAGTCAAAATTAAATAGAAAAAAAATTGATAGGCACTGTTCTTGAAATTCTAGAGGCTTTACAGTGCAGTTCTTTAGTTTATTTAGGTATTTTTTGTTATTTTACATGCACTTATCATCCAAAAAGTAATTGGGTGATGTTAGGGCTAATACACTTGTTTAATATTTGGAAATCTAGATTCTTACTAGATTATTTCAGAGATCACTCTGTAAGTCAACAAACTTGACGAGATTTACCGTAAAAGCCAGCAACAATTCACTTGTTTACTGTAGGCCAGGGAGAGTCTACCCACAGTATAATAGCCGAAACTCTAAAATGTCAACCGTAACTTATTACCGTGAAGTTTTAATGGGTTTTTTAAAATGTCATTAAAATGACATTACTGAGCGGAACTTTACTATTGATGAGAGAATTAACATTCATTTTCAGTTATTTAACAATTATTCCTTGAGCCCGAATGGGCTCTGAGTCAATAGCCCAGAGGCCATGAGGGCAAGAGGAAAAATTTTTGTTTTAGTAAAATCCAACAAGTTGGTCAAAAATATCGAGAATAAAACATTTTTAGCTAGTTAAAAGCTAGACTTTAATTCTTTTTTGCCCCCATAAACCCGCGCTTTTCGCTACTAGGGGGGTATAACATATAGGCTAGTAGTAGTCAACCAATCAGAACGCAGCATTGATAATAGACCACTAGTTGGATTTTACTAATATCAGATATTATTTGTCTGCTTTGATCATATCGAGTCACGAGATAAACTAGATAATTATTCAGATTGGCAATTTTCTATTAATTTTTCCTTTCAGTATTTTGGTTAGATGTGTATAATGCCTTATACAGCAATGAGTATACTTCATGAACACCCTAATTCGGTTGCTCGGCTGGTTACTCAATTGACTATTTTCGAATTCCCCATAATACACTCTGTTTGCCTCCCACATTTTGCATAACTTATTGTCTTAAAATGCTCGTGGGAAAATGCAATACTCCCAGGAGCATTTAAAAACAATGGTTTATGCAAAATTTCAAAAGAGACCTTTAATCTATGCCACATATAGTTTCAAGGCGATCAAAGAGACCTTTAATCTGTGCCATATTTTTTTGATTGAAAGATTATCTAAACATGCCCAAATGAATACATTTTGGACTCGTTATTTGCCTCGTCATGGCCGGGCAAACTTATAGCTTGTAGTAAAGCTAAGAACCTCTTCTGGATATGCAGATCAACTGAACCTAATATACATGTCACTCAAGTCAGAACAACTTCTTGCTTCACCTGTGACATACAGCAATTGGAATATAACAACAATAACTTTATTGACTTTATCTTTGACATGAAGATTTCAGTACCAAAACAATCTAAAATGAAAAAAGTAAAATAAAAGTTAAGTAAGAAAGAAAGGAACAATTGAATATTATCATAAAAGAAAAATTACTTGGCTATCATACGCTACTCGTATGATAAGAAAGTTTTATTAGAGTTTGGATGTATAAAAATTTAGAATAATTTCAATATAAGAGGTACTCAAATTTATGATGTTTTCATCGCTTATAGACATGATATATAAAAATAGTGCCTTGCAAGACATACTCATAAAATTACTGTTTATCGAGTATAGGCTCTCCAAGAAGATACCCCTAAATGAGTAAGTGGTGAGTGGGTACATTTCAACAAATAGTGGAATTCATCGCCAATTTCGGATCTATTACAGAGGGGACAAAGCCTTTCAACTCTGGGTATCTTCTTGTAGCGCCCAGATTCAATAGGTAGCAAGTGGAATATAAGACACCCGGTGCACTAGTCATTTAAAAAATAGAAACCTTTTCCTGAATCCTCGCTGATTCTTGTCTCCAAATTAGATTATCCTATCTCAATATGACTGTACCTACCATATTTTTTTTATATATTTCTTACACTTCAAAGAAAGCCGAAACAAAAGCACAAACACAAGCTCATAGCCCTAGCTATACCCTTTTTTTCACGAAGTAGAGATAAATAGCGGGTTCTTTTTACTGTATATCAACAAATGTCTTGACCTTAGTAATCGAGGGGTTCGATCGAACCCCCTGAATTAAAACAGCTGACGTCTAAAACTTGTAAAAATATTAAATAATTACTTACAGTCAATCTTAAATGCAATAATTCTAACCAAGTTAAGCCTCTGCTGCTCAATAAAGCCTGTTGACTACGATGCGCTGGTTCAGCCTTTTGCGGGAAGATACCCCAAAGAATGCTTCTTGTTGATCCCGTCTTTGATGAAACACAAAATTGAAATAAGATGAAATGCAGTATATTTTTATCATACGTTTATAAATGCAAATCTGCATCAGGTTTACGCAGCTTTGTTATATTTTGATGCAAAAGGAATGACATTTTAACATTAAAAAACGAGGTATAAAAACACGCTGACTTTGCCTCAGAATGGGGGAAATCGCGTTTCCGAGGCTTGAAATTTCAAAAATTTTCGGGCGAGGATGCCCTCGAACCCACCTGCTAAAAACCCGGATCCACCCCACATAACCCTCATCGCTATTTAGGGTTAGTCCGCACGGATTTTCTGATGATGTCCACCGTCTCCTGTTCAAGAATCTTTACCCCCTCCCATGCAGTCGATAGCGTGGTTGGCTTTGGACTGATTTTCCCAGACTGCTGGTGTTGTTTGTTTTTAGTGTTCGCCCACTCTAGTATATTACGGTATGTCAACTGTTAAACTATCCCTTTTTATATCAAACTATTATGGTTAAAGAAACGTTATTGTATTGTTTCAAGAGTTAATAGATCTCATTGTTCCTACTTTACTTTTCCACGCACACCCCCTTGGGGCTTAGTCACAAATCCTTCCCAACAAGAATTGCGTGACGAACCAATAGAACGTCTACGTGGAAGCCTAACTAATTGTTAGCCTATGTTTTGGAATTTTATTTTATTCAGTTTTTATTATTTTTTTAAACGACAACTACCACCTTTTCATTCAGGGGACGCTGGCCTTCAAAAGCCACAGCAATGTGACCGTCCATGCTCACTGTAATTCCACTCACTTCGAGTACTCCTTCAGCAAGCTGAATCATTCGAACGAGTTCTCCTTTTACGGTGTATATAGCCAGCTCCAGGTGGTCTCTTCGTTTGTAAGCAACAACTACGTGATCACCTACAGGGTGATGTGCGATGAAATAATTGGCAAAGGGTGCGTGGGTGCTGATATTAAATTTGGCAAGCTGTTGTCCCTCTTCAGTGAAAAGGTGAACACATGAATCCCGTGAGTCTACTATCATGACGCGACCATCACATGTAGCGGCGATATCTGTTGCACACATGCGCAATTCTTCGCCAAATCTGCAAACGAACTCGCCACTCAGCTCATGAACATCAACAACGCTAGAAGAAAGCATCAGCACTTTATTTCTGGTCACTCTTAGTCTGTTACGCCAAAGCCAAACCCTCCTCACAGGAAACTTGTGCTGCAGTTCAGCGGCTTTGTTAAAAACCTGAACTTCATTCTTCTCATTCTTCTTACCCTTCAGTTCAACGTTAACTAGTAAATAGATATTGTCGTCCACGTCCGAAGTGGCAACGCTCCAAATTATTACTGTTGCATCAGCGTCTTCAGATTTAGGTTTAAAATTGAAAACAAACTTTCCGTTGCTATCAAACACCTCCACGGTGTAAGTTTGAAGATCTGTATCAACGGCTACCATAAGGAACTGTTGCTTGGCATTTATAGATATATCAATCGGCCACTTAAGCTTGTCCGGCTTCCCTTGTCCCTTGACCAGACCAAATGACCATTGTAAACAACAATTCTCTAGGCCTTGTCTCATCAGTGCGTCAATAACTCTCCCGTCGCGGAGTGGATCTACTTTCTCTTTCCCGGTATCAACCACAGGCAACGTCCACAGATTTCGAATGCCGCACATTTGCATGACATCATGGATCACACGATTCGCGTGACAGACTGAATAAATTATTTGCCTTCGTTCGTCTTTCTTAAAAAGAGCCCTCAATCTTAGTCCTCTCTCCAACTCAACTTTGAAACACTGTTTAACTGCTGGTACTTGGTGTAACTCATCAAGGCAGACTCTACAAGCTGCTAATGCGTCGGTAGGATTGTCAATTGTCCTCAATATCGTCGCCATCAGGCGATATTGCATAGCTAACAGGCGATCAGGTAATTCCAAAGCTTCATTACTAAAAGCCTTTATTGCTTCCAATCGAGCTTCATTAGAAGTCTCCATCACTTTACTAAGCCTCCTCGTAGCGGATTCATCCAAGGCAATCAGTTCCAGTTTTCCCATTTCTTCCAGCGAGATAAAATTTGTTTTATCAATTCTGGTTTCGGCTGCAGCTTGGGTTTGTGCAGTTATCGTGCGATACTCGGCGCTAGATCTGGCACTTTCAAACACTTCATATAACATCTCGATTCCTTCTTTAAAAAGACTGATACTTGCTAATAAATCCTTTCTTGCCAGCCCATCCAACTTCGACTTTATTTCATCGATTTCACGGATGATCAGTCCACGGAACTTCTGATCTGTAACATCACCCTCAGTCAACTTTTCTGCCAGTTTATCTCTTCCTTTATTCACCAACAGGCCGATAGTGGCTTTAAATACGGCAGTTATCAGCGAAGACATGCTGAATGCTTTCGATAAAGGTCTTCGTCTGCGCTGATATGTGACTTGACTGTTTGGAATTTCAGTGAAACTGAACAGGAAGCAAAACAGAGAAATCGACTTACTTTCTTGCACGACGTCTTGCACGTAGGTAGTTCTGACGTGTTACATTTAGCTACAGACGTGACCGCTTTACGTTTTTATGCGCATGGATTGCAAACATTCCTACGCAGAGGTAGCTACGCCCCTGACCTTACGATCTACGCACTGTACGCACGTGCGTACCTGAAAACTTTGAGGCTAAAAAATAAAATGAAACAAAATAAAATAAAAAAGGGAATAATTAAAAAAAAGAAACTATAATAATTTTAAAAAAAAGACAACGGCAAAATTTCCTGAAATAAGTCATTTTTTTAACCTACATGACAGCTTTCTTGGCCGTCATGTAAATGCCGCGTCACGCAAAAGCTTAGAAATTCAAGCGTACTCTATCACACTGAACCAAGAACCCTTTTGAAGCGAAAATTTGTATGAGAATTAGTTTTCAGCTGCTGTAATGCATCGTGAAAGTAAAATTTTGGTAGGATCGATAGTTTTTAGGGTTGAATTTTAGTTACGTCATGTGAAACCAACAATTCTGTTTAACTCTACTTGATTCTTTGTAGTATTTTTTCTAAACCAACGTACAGTTTTTTTTTTTTTACACCCGAATGTCGGTTTTTAAAACAACGGACTCTTTTTCCCACATCAGAAAGTCAGTTTTCATTTGAATCTTGAATGATATACTTGAAGATGCGTGCAGATAGCAAGCGAGATGGTATAAAACGTGTACATGTTCCCAGCCCTGTCTTCGCAGTAGACAAAGTAGAGCGCTGGTGCTTCTGTCGGTCAAAAACAATGTGGCAAACAGCGGTAAAAAAAGAGTCGCTTATTTGTAAATAAAAGTCTGAGATACTACCGTAGCTTGTTGGCTTAATTCAGTGTCAATTTATAAGACCATATTGATTGCTTTAGTCAATGAACCCAAAAAGGAGACAAAATCTTTTATAAAAAGACGCAAGTCAGTTCAAATACAGGTTTGAAATATAGGTTTTTGTTCATTATGCGCTTGATTATCCACTAAAATGCTCCACCGTAATGCTCCATTGTTTCCACTGAGATGCTGGGTCTCCCCAAGAAACATAGGGCGCAGGCGAGTTATTAGTGACCTTGGTTGTAGTTAAATTTTACAGTTGATACCGCGAATCGCCTTTGTTTTACTGTAGAATCGAGCAACAAGTCATGTTCTAATGGGTGATCCAATAATGCTCCGGAAAACCGCTGAAGGAAATGATTGCGGACTAATAACAGCGGCTTGGCTCAGAGAGCTTCGCCTTTCAAGTGCGTCGCCCTTTGGGAGACTACGTGCAGTCTCTCTTTTTTCTTAGTCCGTCGAGCAAAACGCGAGACATGCAAATGACCACGCGCGTATCTGAAGGCGCGAGACGGGGGAGGCACGAAAAAAGAGAGGCTACCGGCCAAGCCGAGACTGAATAGTCTTTCACGGTCTAGTAATTTTTTAGCACTCTTTCCAGCCCGCCCGGGAATAGGAGACTTACATGCGCAACATTGGGAACCTGCGCCACAGACGAAGCTAAACTCTGGTTAAAGATCAATGATTCCATCAAATTTTAAGACCATAATGTTCTAAATTAGGACACAATAACACGATCATGCATGAATCAGTACCAATAAGAGATGTCGGTATCTGTATCCAGTGGGGACTCCCCAATGGCACGGAACCCCCTCGCACCCCACCCTCGATCCCTAGGCCTCTAACTAAAAAAAAAAAAAAAAGCGTCTTTACTCAGGTGACCAGCAACTAGGCAAATTGACTGCACCAAATTAAAAGAAGGGTTTTACATATGAAAACAGCTTACCACCCACAGACCTGTTTTGGTGAACTTGACGTCATGTATAACGCGCTCTATATCTTTTTTTATATTCCATACAACCCCCCCCCCCCCTTCGCCCTTGTCCCTACCGCGAGGGATAGTTTAATAGCAAAGTGAAAAGAACATTTTCTACACTGGTACGATCTTCATATTCAGTTTCCTTGGGATAAAGTCGACTCGCGTCAGAGTTCAAGTTCGCTAAAACCTAGCTATTCCTCCCTATAATCCATATAGGTGTATGCTGTCCCCCCAAACAGTACGGGTTTTGTGCCGTTTCGGTCTGAGAACGCCGGGGTGTAGGGTTTGCCCATTTCGGTCTAGAATCGGGTATGGTTTTCGAGGGAACTACGCGATGACGTATGAATATTCGGAAAGAAATAATACATGCAAATTTAGTACGATGGAATTGTAAGAAATCTTTTAGTTTGTGTTCTTATCTGAACAATGATGACAGGATTTCTGTCTTTGCTTGGTTTGAAAATGGGAATGGATTTTAGTGAACAGATCTGAAAACAGGTGTGGAAAATGACATTTTTTCTCTCTGAAATAGGGTCAGGACACTTGGAGCTGCTGGAGAAACGGAAGGCACATCCCATCCAAGAATTCACAGGCGAAACTCTTCCTAGGGGTCCCCTGTCATTCACAAAATGATATTTTGTATCTACCCTGCGAAAGGAGGTTTCTCTCTTGCATGGCTTCTAGCGTATACGAAGTCGTTCGCGTGGCTTGTCAGTCTCGTATAAAAAGCACCACCAACGCGAATTAAAGCCATGCACTGAGAGAGAAACCTCGGCTCGCACATGGGGTATTTTGTGTCAAAAGAGAAGTTTTGACTTGTTTTTCTATTTTAATAAAGTTACATCTAGTTTCTTCTATTACGTTGTTTGAAATTCGAACCAAAAACTAACAAAAACTAAAATAAATACTTTTTACTTAAAAGCACAGTGCTTGTCTGAGAAGAGCGCGATTGTTAAAGGAAGAGAAACAAAAATGAAAAGATAAACATTTTTCATCAAAACGTCTAGATTTGGTAATTCTGAAAGATTTTCTTTCTAATATAATGACAGGTTACTTGCTTCGTGGAAGAAAAGAAACCATTAACAGTTTACAGGATACGGCGGATTATTGAATCTACAACATTGGCGAGAGTAAATTATGAAACTTTTTCTTGTCATCAGAAACTGATTAAAAGTGCATGTGGACATGCGCTGGATGAGTTGCTCCTGCTCTGTTTCGTTTATTCGGCAAGTAGTGAATCTAAAACAAACAAAAAAAGGGGGAATAAGTCATTGCAATATGAACCTCCTAAATTTTGACCACGATAAAACGGCTTTACATACAAATAATATTTTCATTGTTACAATAACCACGAATTCTGCCTGCACGCAATGCTGGTATTCTCGTAGCACCCCAGGACATTGTAGACAATCGTGTGGAAGTCTCGGGGGAGTCCTTTTGCCTAAGTAAGCCAGCTATCCCGTGATTTCAGTCTCTTTTTCCAAGTAACCCCGTTCTTAGCCGGGGTTACAATTTTTTACCCTCCCACCTCCCCTTCGGAGACGCGTGTCCCCCTCTCCGTTCTCTGTCTTACGACCCTCTGCCTTTGCAAAATCTCGCTTCCCATAACTTAGTTTCGCGAAGGCAGTAAGTGTTGTTCTGAATGTGAAAATGGTTCTGACTATTCTCTTCCTGTTTCGTGGAATTTCAGGCGCGCACTATTTTCACACTGACTGATTTGATGTTGATGTTGTAATAAAATTGTCACCCTAAACTAGGGGTCTGGAAAAGGGGGTCCTGAACTTCTGTCACATCCCCAATATCGTTTTCTTTCCCAATCTCACATCTGTTCCCAAATTTTATCGAATCCCGCTGCTCGGGTAGCAGCCAAATCCCGTGTCCCGATAACGTTTCCCAAATCCCGGTCTGTATTTTGGCCAAATCCCGTATCCCGATAATGATTCCCGAACCCGCTCTGTATTTCAGTCAAATCCCGTGTAACGATAACGTTTCCCGAATCCCATACTGTATTTTGCCCAAATCCCAGTCACATTTCCTTCTTTCAAACAAAGTACATTTTCATTTTTCAACCCGTTCCTTTTCTTGCACCCCCCGCTTACTAGACTCTCACTATTACACGTTAATACGAAGACCTCGTTACTTATGAAGCAAGAGGGAGCAAGATTTCAGATCTCGTGTCCCGACGGTGGTCTTATAAATGAAGTTGCTCTGTACGTTAAAAAAAGAAGCAGAACGAAGAAGATTGAAGATAGAACGACTTGCCTGCTTCTCGCCCGTTAAACCAGAGTAAGAAGCAAATGAAATATCAAAATCCTTAGCAGCAGATCTCGTCGATGCGCAAGCATCAGAAATCGGAAATGAGTTCTTTGTTGAAGAGCACAAGTCCTTCTCACATCTGTCGTGTTTGACGGGGCATTTAGACTTGAAGGATAACAATTTTCTGTAAATTGAAAAATCAAGGAAAGCTTGTAAAGTTAGGGATTTCACTAGTTTACGAAACGGTAAAAGTCGAGAAATTCTTCTGCTTTTCTTATTTTTTTCATATTTAGGAGACAGTGAAATTCGAGCAGTTAAATAAGGGTGCTAAAAGTTCTAAACTAGGTATGTGAAAGGAGCACCATTTGTCAATAAGGTATACGAAAGGGGTACATTTTCGGTCAAAAATGGTATATATTAGCAAGTGGTTGAACCTCGGGGCAGGGCCTTCCTCTATAAACCTTTATTGAGTACCCCCACCCCCTTCCCTGGACTTATAGCACTCGATCCTATTGTCCCCCTTTGCTGAGCCGATTGACAGATATTCAACTAGCACGTTCATGTCTGACTTCTTTAGATACACTAATGTAAATCATTCAGCTCACCTGGGAAATTTAAAGAAACGTGAGCCACGTGACTTCTGTCTGTGTTTTTCACAGTATTTGCACAGGCATCCCACTTGTGGGTTTGTTTTGTGATCACAGTAACTGTGTTCGTCACCGAGCGGAGTCAGGTTGATTTCAATTGCAGCTGGCTTCAATCCCTTGCGTTTCTTTTGCTTCTCTTTCTGCTTTTTCTGTTTCTCCTAGAGAAAAGTTAAAGTTAAGTCTATAAATTTAACCTCATATAAAAGAATTTTGATCTGTTACAAGGAGGTATAACGCCGTGGAACTGTGACAAGCAAGAATTTTGTTGAAATGTTACTTTGAGTTACCAAGACGAAAAGCGCTAGCCTAAAAAACAGCACCACTGCTTCCTCCCTCACAAAATAATGTCTCAGGAATGAACACAGGACTTCCATACTTTAGACGCTTCACTACCCAGATATAGGTAATGCTATTAATTGGATGGAAATTTGCCGTGACTAACCAGATGCACTTGACCCTGATGAGCGTAGTAAGCAAAAATCAGCACCAAATATGGCTGTTTGTAGCCTACACTGGTTGACTGGTAAATTATTTCTGGAATAAACACCTACCATCAATTTTGCTCTATTCTTGTAAATTGAATTCCACTTATCATTTTCTTCTTTGCTGCATGATGAAGAACATTTCGCTCCAGCCCTCGCCGGGCTTGGAAGAAATGTCTTTTCCCCGATTTCTTCGAAGCCAAGTTTGTTTTCTTCCGAAGACAGGGTAATTGTTGTTGGAGTCCCTAAAAGATTACCAAAGATAAACTTTTGAGTTGCACAGCAAACTGAGTTAATTCGAATATCTTCTAAAAGCCGCGTTTCCTTTAGCTGTGTAAGTTTTTAACATAACCCGCTTACGATAAGACGAGGACTTTTGATCCCCACTGTTTGCGCGTCCAGTGTAAAAAAATTACTCGCTCGTCCCAGGTCCCGAATATCTCAGCTTCGTCCCCAGAACGAGGTTAGGAATAACTGAGAGCCTGTAACAGGTGGAACTGCAAATATTATCGTAGCCTGCATTCCGCTCACCGTGAAACACATTTATATTCATTTACTTCCTCTTTAACAGGGAAAGTAATTACAGCGCGCGAGAACCTCGCTCCCAAATCAAGAGACGCAAAAGAAAAAAAAGAAGAAAGAAAAAGAGTACGAAAAAAGGTTACGCTCACTATTCAAGTGCAGAGGTTGTGTGTAGTATCCTGTATTTTCACTGGAAATGAAACACTTCACCAAAAGACTTACCGCCGCGATTGGGTCCCATGGTCATCGTTAGGAGATTTTTATCGCCGCTAGTCAGGCCAGAAATCTCGAGTGTTGCGTTTTCGACTACCATGAAGCCATCCTTTCCCTCGCTGGTGACGTCAGAGATTTCAATAATCACCTCATCAACCTCTATCACGTCACTCTCCTTCTCACTTGCAGCCCCGGAAAAGTCAATAACGACATTTTGAAACTTCGTCTCAACATCTTTGACTTCATCTCTCAGACCGTTTTCAGCGGTCACTTCCCAGTTATCCTTAACATCCCCAGTCAAACCGGAAGAATTTATGGTCACGCCAGGTGTGTCACTTGCAGTGCTTTCCACGAGCCGTGCAACGTGTTTTTCATTCTCTCCTTTCAACCTCATTGTTGTTGTTTCAGCTCTTGATTTCTTGCTTGCGTGCAGAACAACTTCATCTTCGTCGTTTTGAATTGTCGATATTACATCACCTGTTGCTGCCACAGGAGTTTTGCAAGACTCTCTGGATGAGCTACCACTCTCCGTTGCCAAGCAAACTGTCCGTGTTGATTGGTCAGAGGTAGAAGGAGTCAAATCAAAGCTTGAAGAACGCTTGGGCGTGGCCGGATATTTCAAGGGAGATGTTTCCAGGAGTGTCTGACTTTCTGCAGTGGGTAAAGAGCATTCTGGTTCGATGGTCAGTGGAATCGAAGGCTCAGTCGATGGAACGTCAGTAACGACTTCTGGTTCAACGGTTGCTAAGGCTACGTGATAGTGGTTAAGTTCCGGTTTTGGCTCCAGAGCTTCTGTAGAATTTGCTATCGGTGAGGAGCAGTGGGTTTCAGGTTCTGGAGTAAGAGACGAGGCTTCCGGTTCTGCTGAAGTCATATCGAGTGAGGACACCGACGTTAAAGATAACGAAGATTTTGGAGTTCCAGAAGCCAACGAAAACACATCAGATAAAGAGGAGCAAGTGAAAGAGGTGTCCGGCGAGCTTAAGTCAGGTATATCAACAACAACACAGGAGTCGGCTTCAGGAGCATCAATAACAAAAGAGACTGGACTGGGTTCAGAGAGATCAACAATGGTACGAGCAGTACGTCCTTCAGAAACTGGATTTGAGTCATGAATATCGACCACCACGCAGGAGTTGTCCAAAGGACGTCCAGAAACTGCCATCAAAGGTGTGGATGTGGGAGTGTCTGTTAGGGTCCATGGAGATTGGGCATCAAAGTGTGTTGCTGCCAGATGGTAAGATGGCGGATTTGGTTTCGGTTTATGAGTTGCAGAGTCCCTTGATGTCCGCATACCGCAGTTCAGATTGGTTCTCTCAAAGATTATCTCTTCCTCGCTAAGCTGCTCGCTGAGGTTAGTCAGTGAATTGAAGTTCCAACCAAGGTCAGGATATTTTCTCCGCAAGCATCTTTTCTTACACATTCCCCTGCAATAAAAGTTACAGAAAAAAAGCTATTGTGGATGATGGCAAGTGTCAGGAGCCGGGTAAACAATAGACCTGCAACAAACTTGTTGAGTGGACAGTGAGGGAGAGAATCAAACAGCTGCTGGCGGAGGGGCTAGGAAAGGGATATTACAAATCCTTATCTATATAAAGAATGCGCACCATCCTTGATATACAACATACTATATCGTAGCGCAACCCTAGTTATAAAATCCGCTACTGAAGACGCGTGCAATACAAAACTATTAGTGACTTGATGCGCTTTGTTTTTGTTTGCAAGGCCCGCTAGTCATGACAATTTAGAATTAACGCATTGCTTCAGTAAAGGGAATGTAAATATACAACTCCTACTGCTGAAGTTGAGTGCATGGTGTGTTTAAAAAACTTGCTTTTCATGAGAAATCAGTGCACTGTCAACTCGTCAATTAATTCCTGTCTTAAACTACATCCTTATTAAACACTAGCAAACTGATAGGGAACAAGTCTCGAAAAAGACAAATCTATAAAGAACCTCCAGAAACATCCGAGACAAAGCGGAAAGTCGTTTAAATTCTCAACATACCACAGACGGCCCAGTCCAGCAAATATGAACAGAAACACCATTATACCAGCACCAACCGCCGCAAAATTGACAGAAGATCTCGACTCTCCTGGATCATCGTCCTCCTCAGTATCTTCCTCGACATCGTCGGTACGCTGGGATGCAGTTTTCTTCTTCTTGTAACGTTTTCGTTTTTCGTTTGGTGGTCCAGTCCTAAGATCATGCGCAGTCCAGCGGAGGCCAGGGGATGTTATCTCATAATGCGCGCTTGGTTTGTGATGCTGCGCCTTGAAATCGGTGCCACTTTGTGTTGGGCGTTCATCCTCTGTCATCCGGGGTTTAGGAGCATCGTGCGCATGCTCTGAATGATCGTTGTTTGTATTGCTTTTGTCTTTGTTATCGTGTTTTGTTGATTCAGCACCTTCTCCGTTAGTCTTCGAAAAGAACCTGTCATCATTCTCAGTCGACAAAGGTGTTAAGATCACGGGTAGTTTAACTTTCCTCTGAATTGGTACGTCTGGAAGAAGGAAAAGTACCACGTAGATATTATGTTAACAGCAGAAAAATTAACCACCACTTAGCGTTTTTGCAGATAACACTTAAGACAGACAAAGGGAGGGAGGGTAAGAAAAGTTTCCATTCAAATTCCAGTTACTGAAATAGTAGATAGCACTATCTACCTGATAAATCATTGTCCAGTGGATAAGTATAATAAAAACCTATTGCGTTATTCCTTAGTTAGACGTTTATCCAGGAAAAAGGTAGAGCGCTATCCTCCTTTGAAACAATTGGGGCCAGGGATCCGTTTCTCGAACGTCCCGATTACTGTAACGATCCTTTAAAGTTGTTGTTCTTGTTACCTTTAAGATAGTTTAATTAGTTTTTCAGTTACAATGATAAAACTATCAGCTGGCTAAACAAAAAGACTGGTTTGTTAGCTAGGACCCGCGTTTCTATAGAGTTTTGATTTGAATATTTTATTTCGGGCCCGAAACTTTGGTCTCGTGTCGTCCTATCCATTTTAATCTTAAGTCATGGTTACAAGTTAAAGTATAGGTTACTCGTGTGTGATTAAGGAATGGCTCCTCATCCCTGCTCCTCGTTGATTACCAGCTTTTACCCTCATTTTTTCTTCGTTTTGTTTCGCACTACCTTTATCTCTGATTATAACAGGGCAGGGATGTAATTTTTGGTGCTGATATTGCACTTTTTAAAGTCATATGAGCTTATTCAAATCTTTACATTTGGGAATTACATCACTTTTATAAAACTTCAAGTTCTCAATTTTTCTTTTATGGTCATTTAGTTTAATTCTAGTTATATTATGTCAAATTAATCAGGAAATTTTAAAGTCTTTCATTCCTTGGTAATAATTCAATGATTTTTCTCTTCTCAGTCTCTCTCTAAAAACGTTGCAGTTCACAGAAAACAATTTATGTTCAAAACCCTGATTCACTCCATACACCTTCAGTGTACTTAAAGTTAAATCAAATCAAATGTCTTCAAAAGTGGTGTAAATTTAAATCGAAATAAATAGTAATAAAATTAATGGGAGTGACAAGTCACGAGATAAAAAGAATCCACCGTTCAAAAGGAAACTGACGTCCTTTTGAGGAAAACAGAGGAAAACGAGACTCGCAAAGTGTTAAGTGAAAGGTTCAATCCCCTTTGAACCAGACCACCCGATAAAAATTTCCTGAGACTCTTTTCTTAATTCACCCGATTAAGTAAAGGTATAAATCCATTAGTACTCTCCTTGAGAGAAAAATTCTGAAAATTCTGTAAATATTTCTTGCCTGTAGCAGATGTTGCTTGCACTCGATCGAACATAGAAGCTTTCTTAAATGGCGCAGCTGAAGGTCTTACTCCAGTATGAGATAAAACACCAGCTTTATGCCTTTTGGCCAATCTTCGCATTGCGAGCTTGCGCATGGTCAAGATTTTCTCGATATTCCCATTCCTGGGATCCATGTTTCCTCGTTCTTTACCAGTTGTTGCTGAGCTCTCGGTGGAGCTGAGGTTGGTACGCCTGTGTCCTGCATACAGCGGAGTGGGACTCCATCTCTGAATAGACTCTTTATTGTCAGTACCCACAGAAACAGGATTCTTCCCTGCTGAAAATTTCAGAAGGCGTAAAAGAGTGAATATTTTTTGTGTATATACTGTACGATTAAGGCTCTTTAATATAGAAGTAACTTATTTATCGAAAATGCGCGAGGATGAAAGTTGGATTGGTAAGCCTTGTAACATGGTGCAACATTCATACGCAAGTGCGCCATACTGAACCTTATGATACCCATTTTAGACAGAACAAAAGCTTTCTTGAGCAAGTCATTTTTCCAGAAAGTGCTCTAAATAAACTATAATTTGTGCAGTCATGTCATGGCTGGAAGGACATTTTGCCATTCAATACCGATGCTTTGCCATCTTATTTCAACGAACAAAACGTACAACGCGTCGACAATCGCGTCCTCGCACATCCAGCGCATTTAAAGTACCGTTAAACGACATTTGTAAATTTGTACAAGTAAATTAACGGGAGAGTGACTCCTTATCGTTAAAAATTTTCCTGTTGAAAAGAAAAACCAATATGAATATCGTTTCCACTTCATCTTTGCTTTGGATTAAATTTAACAGAAAATCCAATGAATTCTTGTAGAAGAATGAAAACCTTACGTCAGACTCATGCGTATTCCATTTATGATGTCACGGTTGTTTTCAAAGCGCACAGGCGCTCAATCTCGACCCCAGATCTCTTCTGCGGATAGTCGCCAGAAGTGTAAGCCCTAGGGTCGAGAGTGAGCTCGCAAAGGATTGACACGTAACTTAGCAACGGGATGGCGTTTAACAAAGAAATAAATAGAGATTTCTTTTTTTCATTATTTTCTTTTAAGTTTCAAACTATCACATTGAAAAACTAGCGTTATTTCATGCGCTTCTGCATTTGACAACAGGTTCACAATTATGAGAATACGTTCATGAACTACACTGTTAAAAGGTCTGTAAGTTTGATTGACTGATTGCAGTCGCTTATTTCCCCTCAGCGTCTCTTGTTATAAAATAACACATCCTACTTTGTACTTCACGGTCTTAAAGGGAGAGTGACTCCTTACCGTTACAAATTTTGTTGTTGAACAGTGGAGCAAGAAAGGCTAAGACGAATATGATTCCCCATTTCATCTTTGCTTTAGACTAAAGTGAATTTATAATCCAATGAATTCTTGTAGAAGAATAAAAACTAACGTCATAGACGCATACATGTTCTATTCTTGACGTCATTCTCGGTTTTGACCGCGCGCAGCGGCGCTCAATCTCGACCCCAGTTCTCTTGTGCACATAACCGCCAGAAGTGTATAAGCACTGGGTTCGAGAATGAGCTCGATCGCAAAGGATGAACGCGTAACGTAGCAACGGGATGGTGTGAAACAAAGAAATAAATAGAGATTTCTTTTTTCATTATTTCCCTTTTAAGTTTCAAACTATCACATTGAAAAACTACTGATATTTCATGGGCTTCTCAATTGGCAACAGGTTCACAATTACGAGAACTTCGTGAACTGCATTGTTAAAAGTCTGTAAGTTTGATTGATTGATTCATTGCAGTCGCTTATTTCCCTTCAGGGTCTCTTGTTATAAAAATTACACATCCTACTATACTCCACTATCTTAAAGGGAGAGTGACTCCTTACCGTTACAAATTTTGTTGCTGAACAGTGGAGCAAGAAAAGCCAATAAGAATATGATTTTCCATTTCATCTTTGCTTTAGACTAAGTTGAATATAAAATCCAATGAATTCTTGTAGAAGAATAAAAAACTAACGTCATAAACGCATACATGTTCTTTTCTTGACATCATGCTCGGTTTTGTTCACGCGCAGCCGCGCTCAATCTCGACCCAGATCTCTTGTGCACATAATCACCAGAAGCGTAAGCATTGGGGTCGAGAATGAGCTCGCAAAGGATGAACACGTAACGTAGCAACGAGATCGGGATGGTGTGAAACTAACAAATGAATGGAGTTAGTTTTTCTTTTTCTATCCTTTTTTCATTATTTCTCTTTTAAATTCAAAAGATTAAATTGAAAACTAGTGTTGCTTTATGGGCTTGCACTTTTACGCATTCGGTTTACAATATTACGAGAAGATCGTTATATGCATGGTTAAAAGGCCTGTAAAATTGATTGAACTCAGGCGCTAATTTTTCTAAAGCGTCATCTGTTAGATAGTTTTACATTTTATCTGCCTGCGCTACAGCTATTTCAAGTATTTCAAGGACGGCGTAACGATGAGCACAGAATGAAATTTTTTAATAAATAAAATAATAATTACTTGTCAGTACTTAGACATGAAGACAAACTCGTCGGAAATGTATTCGCGTTGAAAAGGCCAACAAAAAAGCGTTCATATACATAAAAGACGAGGTTGGATTTAGAATAAGATTCGCGCTTACCTTTACAATCCTTGCTTTTCAATAGAATGAGTAGCAGAACCAACGAAAATATCGTTTTCCGTTTCATTTCTACTTTGGAAATCCAACGCATTCTTTTTCAAAGAATGGAAATTAAAACAAACGTCACAAAAGCCGGTTTAATAATTGGGGCCTCGATTTATTTTGCTCGCGCGCACTGTCACGCGCACGTGGAGAAACTTATTTTCATGAGGCTATGTGAGAACATGGTGTTGCACTGTTCTTTATCGTATGGATTTTGAAAGGGTGGCTTTGCTGACGAAGCTAGAGATCGAAGGGATTGGAACTAAACATTTCGAGCGTCAGCCCTTTCACTTTTAACTGTCCCATTAATACATTTTCTTTACCAAGCAACCCACTTTGGGCACGCGAATTTGGCAATTTCGATTAGCTTAGAACTTCAAAAACGACAGGCTAGCTTAGTCAGCCCAGTCAGTCCGAGGAAGAGTTTTGCTGCCCTGTTTTTCGTCTGAACAAAAAGTTTACAATAAAGAATTCGGAAAACCAGCTAAGAACCTGCTTTCTCCTTGTCTCTAGTGACTTGCACTTTACGTCATTCTCGTCTACCCTTTTTATATGTTATGTAGAATAAGGCTATTTTTACACCAGCCCGGATAGCTTTTGCTGTTCGTTATCAAGAACAGTGATTTTAGCGCGATTTTCTGTAACCGCGTGAAGATGCACCGCGCCGATCTCGAATGAGGAGCGTCACATATCTGATTAGCCTGAGAAAACAGCCGACGTTTCACGACGCCACCACGAGTTTCCCCGCGAAATGACGTCTGAGAAACGAGCGCAGAAATTCCGTACTGATGACGCGTTATTACCCAGATCTGGGAAGGGCTTCTGATTGGTTAAAGCAAATTTTTACGCGGCACGACCAATCAGAAGCACCACTACCCAGATCTGGGTGAGATCCGAGCTCCTGAACTCTTGATATTCACATTATCCCAAGGGGTAGACTGGTCGTTTCCCTGTCTCTCCAATTATACTCTCTTGCAGTGTACCCAGTCTGCGCTGACGGTAAGTTTTATACTTTTAACTAACAACTACTTTTCCAGTGTACTGATTTTCCATAAAAGCCACTGCAATGTTACCCTTCATGGTCACTGTAATTCCTTTTAGTTCGCGTGCTGTTTCATCAAGTTGAATTGGAATTTTTCGAACGAGTTCGCCCTTTACAGTGTATATAGCCAGCCTCAGGCGATTTGTCTCTTGTTTAAAGGAAGCAACAACGACATGCTCACCCGTAGGGTGATGTGCAATGAAATAATCGTCATCTTCATCGTTGCCGATATTAAATTTGGCAAGCTGTTGACCCTCTTCAGTGAAAACGTAAACGCTGGAATCACCTTGGTCTAAAATCGTGATGCGACCATCACAAGTAGCACTGATATCCGTTGCAACCTTGAACACTCCATCGCCAAATCTACCAAAGAACTCACCACCGAGCTTATAAACATCAATAGCGTTTGCTGTCAACATCAGCACTTTTTTTCTGCTTACTGTTAGTTGAAGTCTGCCTCGTGGAGATAAAACTGAACTGTTCCTCACAAGAAACTTGTGCTGCAGTTCAGCGGTATTATTAAAAACCTGAACTTCCATCTTTTGTTCAAGAGCCACGCGCTTCTTCAGCGTGACGAGTAGATAGATCTTGTCATCCATGTCCTCAGGGCAAGTGGCGATATCCCAAACATTTACTTCTACTTCTACATCAGCGTAATCAAATCTAGGTAAAAAACTAAAAACATACTTTCCGTTGTTATCAAACACCTTCACATGAGTACACGTATTAACCCAAGACAGGGATCGGCCTGGCCAATTGTCTGCTATAAGGAACTGTTGCTTGGTGTTCGTAGCGATACCAACAGGCTCGTTCAGTCTGTCCTCCTCCTGACCAAATGACCATAGTACAGAAGAGTGCTTCAGGCCTTGTTTCGTCAGTGCGTCAACAACTCTTCCATCCCGCAGTGGATCCACTTCCTCTTTCCCCGTATCAACCAAAGGCAACGTCCACAGATTTCGAATTCCAAGCAGTTGCATGACATTATGGATCACACGATTTACGTGACAGACGCAAAAAATTATTTGCCTTCGTTTTTCTTTATTAAATGGAGCTCTTAATCTTACTCCTCTCTCCAACTCAACTTTGAAATATTCTTTAACAGCTGGTAGTTGGTGCAACTCGTCAAGGCAGACTCTGCAAGCTGCTAACGCGTCAGTAGGATTGTCAACTGCCCTCAGTATCGTAGCCATCAGTCGATATTGCATAGCTAACAGGCGATCATGTAATTCCAAAGCTTCATCACTAAAAGCTTTCATTGCTTCCAGACGAGCTTCATTAAATTTCTCCAACGCTTTGCTAAGCTTCTTCGTAGCTGATTCATCCAATGCAGTAAGCTCCAATTTACTACTCATTTCTTCAGTTTCATCAATTCTGGTTTCGGCTGTAGCTTGTGTTTGTGAAGTTATCGCGCGATGCACGCTACTGGATCTGGTACTTTCAAACACTTCATACAACAGCTCGATTCCTTCTTTTAAAAGACTGATACTTGCTAATAAATTCTTTCTTGCTAGCCCATCCAACTTCGACTTAAGTTCATCGATTTCACGGACGACCAGGCCGTGGAATTTCTGATCTGTAACATCACTCTCATTCAATTTTTCTGCCAGTTTATCTCTTCCTTTATTCACCAGCAGGCCAATAGTGGCTTTAAATACAGCAGTTATTGGTGAAGAGTATGTTGCAGCTGAATGCTTTGGGTGAAGGCCTAAACCTGCGCTCATACCGGTACCTGACTTGGCTGTTCGGATTTTACTGAAACCTGACCGGGAAGCGAGACGTACACTTGATGGGTAGCCTGACGTGACCTCTCTGTAAATCATCGATCAGCCTCGTTCCCAGTCGCACTCGGCGATTTCGTATGTGATGTCACTTGTAACTGGGATATATATAGCGCGCACTAACCTGGGTACGAGGCTGCGCATCGATAACATATATTCACGCCACGCCTAGTTCAGAGGGTGTTTTTAAATTTCTTTATAAATTACAATTTTTAAAGGTCTTAGGGCTGTATTCAAATTGATAGGGCAAACCTCTTTTCCTTTTCACGGACCAAAATTCTAGAAATCATTCTTCAGCAGCCTCTCATAAGCGTTCACAATAGTAACCTGAAAATAATGATAACAACATCATAACAACAACAACAATAACAATAATTTATATAGCGCTATTCACGATCAGCTACTCTTTCTTGTGCTTTATAATGACAGTATGCTAACGTAAGAACCAACAGCTTACTGCGCTTTTCATAAACACGCGAATTCTGAAGTTTAAAAGCCAAATGACGTTTGCGTTTTTCCCTGCCGTCAATTATCTTAGCGGACCTGTTAGGAAACAGAAGTTTACCTCAACGAGTTCAAAAGGTCATGGTTTGTGATTGGTAATTGGTGGATTTCGATCGGTTTTGTGTTTTTCTGTGTTTCAAGGTTCGTAGCTTGTGATCGTAATTATGATTGACGGCAGCGAAAAACGTACTTGTGAAGGCGGCTTTTGATTTTGAACTTCAGAGTTCGCGTGTTTTTGAAAAGCGCAGTAAAATACCGATATAAATATTGTAACTATACCGTTGTTTTTCCTTTTTGCGGTTATGTATAAATTTCTTCCTTTCTTTTTTTTTTTTTTTTTCCCCTTTTTTTGTGCGTGCAATAAAAACTGATTAACAGTTGTTTTCAGTCAAATATCCTGCGAAGAGAAGCCTTTATATTATGGCTCACAAACGTTGATGATCGGCAAAGATCGTCATGGCAAGTTTTCCGTGCTACCTTACTGAACCACTTCCCCCTGGGAAGGTGGTACTTGACCATTATTTGATGGGCAAAGGTGAGTGTTTGAAACCCCGACCCTCGTTCTCTCTACGAGGCTAGCCGCGCATAAACGAAGCTTTTTAAATCTCCTGAGAAAAAATTGCCGCTGAGTGACCAGGATCTATCGGAGGAGGTTTTTGTGATATCCAGACTTAATCAAGGTCGAAGTAAGTGTTATCAGCCGAGCTGAAGGCCAAGGCTGATAACATGCGAGACCTTGATTATTTAGGATATCACAAAAACCGAATCTAGTAATTGTTTTATTATACATTGTTTTGAAGAAAATAATGACAAACACACCGTCGCAAGGAAATTGATATTGGTATTGTTACTGGAAATCATGTATTGCGCGCGCAACCTACAGATTAGTCAAACGAAACCAAGAGCCATATTATGGCTCTTGACAAACTGAACGCAGAGCTGGCACTACAGCAAAGGGCTGATTTATTATAGGCCAATATTTCGGCTAATAAAATTAGCCTTCATTAGGGCCAGAGTTATACCGAGAGAAAATATCTTTTACAGATTAGTCAGTTATCTGCTAGTACACTAACTAATCTGTAGGTTGCGCTGCGTTCTAAAATTAGCTGCATATACAGTAAACACCCACATATAAGAACAAATAGATTAAGAACGCCAGGCTGAAATTTGGCCAATAAAGCCCAATTTTTATAAGAACAAGATCAGCTTAAAAATTGTAACATGTTCTTATAACATGGAAAAAGTGTCATAATTACAAAGCATGTAAGTTTATGTTTGCTGTCAGATAACTTCATTTGTTAATATAATCAAATTACAATATAATCATTTATTTTATTTTCCTAAAATATGCTAAATATACCTCTAGCAACATGTTTTGGGTAGTATTAATAAATTAAAAAATTAACAACATTTTAAGAACATTTTGAGGCTGATTTGTCATGCCCTCGATAACAGCAAGAACTCAATCAGCCTGACTTCCGAAATCGTGTGTTATTATAAGCGGGTGTTTACTGTATAGGCTCTTAGTCAATGAGAAGACAGATATTGAGTACAATGTATGATAACAATCGTTAGCAGGATTCTGGATTTCTTGAGCTAAATTCCAGATTTCAAAGACCAGGATTCCAGATTCCACAAGCAAAAATTTCCTGGGTTCAGGAGCGATATTTGATGTTTATTTTGTTTTCATTCTTTTCCGCCAGGGAGTGCGATTTTTAGCTTCTAATCTTTATTTTTTCATAAAAAAAGAAAAAAATACATCTTTACTTTATTATTCCCGAGGTAAATAGCTTTCACACAGTTTTTAAGTATTAAGCCCCACGCTACAAGATGGCAAATCACTAACAGTGACATAGTGTCTTTAAATTATGCTTATACACCGTATTCACAAATGGCGGACACGCGGGAAAAAACTGGTGCCTAGTCATGAAAGCGAGGCGTTGGAGGATAAACAAAAATTGCAAATGAAGACTTTCAGTGAACTTGCAGAGTGTTTAGCACGGATTCCACCTAAAATAACTTTTTACGGACTTCTTTTTAAATACAATTTACGTGGGATGTCTTCTGCTTTTAATGTTTAGTAGCTATTTGCTGTTTGCAATCAAAAGGGACGCGTATATCTTCAGGAAACAGGTAGGTTTCCGAAGCATCAGCATCCTCGGAGACCCAGGGGCAGATAGTGGGGGCGAGGGAAAGTCTAAACAGGCGGGAAAATATGGCACAAGGGAAAAGTAAAGAACGGTGAGAAGAGCCCCTGAGGACAATGTCTTACCAGACCAGTTCCAAACGGTCGCCGCCGTTCTGTCTTCTGATTGGTGCCAGAAAACTTGTGTTTTTCTGGCACCAATCAGAAGACAGAACGGCGTCGACCGTTTGGAACTGGTCTGGTAAGACATTGTCCCCAGGGGCTCTTCTCGCCGTTCTTTTCTTTTCTTCGCGCCTTATTTTTCCGCCCGTTTAGACTTTCCCTTGCCCCCACTATCCGCCCCTGGGTCTCCGAGGATGAAGCATCAGAAGCTCGAAGAGAAGGCGATCGCTGGAAAAAAGCGGCAAACAGGTTGGCCCAAACTTCACACTGAAACCGAATACGAAAGCCAGATCTCTACAATTCTGTATTGGATCAAATTAATTCCGTCGCTTTGGAGGGAATTGTTAGAGGTACGTTGGCAGAGCTTAGCAAAAATCTCATGATTTCCTTGTCATTGCGAAGTAATTAAAAATAATTCTATCAAAGTTAAAAGCTGTAGTGTGTGAATCTTATGGCTTGCTATTTGCCTGGTTTCTTTTAGGGCATTATTCCAGAGAGCTCTTGGTAATAAAAAAGTGGTATAAAGCTTACATTTTACTAGGTTAAAATTTTAAGGCAATGTTTTTGTCAGGTCTGAACACGGGAAGCTTCTGTTTCGAATAATTGAATTCGAGTCTGGATCAGTTTAAGAAGACCATCATTTTATTTATTTATGTATTCTTCAACTTTAAAATATTATGGAACATAAAGTTAAAACTCTTAACAGCCAAAGGTAAGAAATACGAAATTACTCGCTGAAATGATATGTGGCCGGCTTACCGAGTCTGCCGAGTAGCAAGTTGAAATTTTGAGCGTACTCCTCTCGGTCGCTCCTGCACATTAAAAATAAATTACCGAAAAACCGCTTGAAAAAAAGGTCAACCCCGCTGTTTTATTGATGTCCTTCATTAATAAAGACCAGAGAATAACGTCCTGGAGAACAAAAACCAACCATAACTTCATCGAAACCTCAATCACCTCTTCTTTCCTGTCTTCCTTTTTTTCATCTCGACTTGAACTGTTTTGTTCAACGGCAGACGTCTCTTGCGTTAACAGTTGCAAGTAGGCCATACATCTGTCGCTTATTTCTTTTTTTCTTGCCACCAAGATTTGTTTATATTTCTGTTTCACCGAATTGCAGTGAGCTGGCTTTCGTACTCGGTTTCAATGTGAAGTTTGGGTCAACATGGCTTTTCTCCAGCCATCGTCCACTTGTCGAGCTTCTGATGCTTCGGAAACCTTAAAAATCATTCTGTTTCCTTGAAGATATACGCGTCCCTTTTGATTGCAAACAGCAAATCGCTACTAAACATTAAAAGCAGAAGACATCCCACGTAATTGTATTTAAAAAGAAGTCCGTAGAAAGTTATTTTAGGTGGAATCCGTGCTAAACACTCTGCAAGTTCACTGAAAGTCTTCATTTGCAATTTTTGTTTATCCTCCAACGCCTCGCTTTCATGACTAGGCACCAGTTTTTTCCCGCGTGTCCGCCATTTAGGCGAATCTTTGTTTTGATTCAAATGAGCATGCGCGAAAGTTTGTGTGGCAAAAAACAATGGCGGACGAGAAGGATTGTGAGGGCGCGAGTAGTCTTGAGAACTCTAGAAGCCGAGTTGGTGGGGTGGATTCGAGGTATTTAGCAACTTTACAGCCACAAGACAGAAAGCGCTTTCAAGAAAAGTTGAAATATGTAGTGGATGGGGAATTATTAGAAATACAAAATCCCTACGAGTCATGGAATGCGCCGTCGTGGAGTGATAAGCCCACCGCGTGGCCTGAAATAGAATTTGGTGATCTGTGGACTTACCTCGTTGAAAAGTCAGGACCTTTTACAGAAGCAAAAATGAAAGCTTACAAAAGTCTGGAAGCCCATGAATACTTTGTGTCTCGCAAAGTTGGCGTTGTTTACAGCCGTGAAGTTAAGGAAAAGACGGGAATCTTCATCCTAAAGGCTGAAGTTCGCCCTGGGCAAGCAGAGTCTCAAAATTCATACTTAGCGTGGATTGTTGCCAAACGCAACGGAGAAATATTAACAGCTCATTGTGACTGTAAAGCAGGGTAAGTTAAATTTACATAGCTTATTACATCAGTGCACGATTTTTATTACAAATCAGGATTGGCAAAATCCTTTATTAGTTCAATCTCTGACTTTTACCCCCACGTTTTTAATTATTTAGAACTTCTTAATATTATCAATTTTAAGACTTGGGGAGACGTGCAGCCATGTAGCTGCCATAATGTTCAAGATTGAAGCAGCCGTACGAACTGGTCTGACCACAGCATCTTGCACAAGTGAAGCTTGCAGGTAACCTTTAGTTAGGTCTTATAATCATACAGTGACAAACACTCAGTATTTTTTTTTGTCTACAAATTTCCATCAGCACTTCAGTTAAGAAAGGCTACTAGTTCTAGTCTAGTGGATTCCATCACCTTTCGCATGCATTGGTGTTTTGCTTCAGTTACTATGTTACTTACAGATATGTCAGTGATGTTATTTAGTTTCA